AACTATTCGAAATTCGTGTTGATAGGCGGTTTAATGAGTTTCAAAAGAGCATCGTGCGATAACGTGTATTCATAGTTTACGTACGCATTAAAATAAGGTACACGCAAACGTCTTCGCAATTCTATAATGAAACTAAATATATTCATCTCTCAAAGCTATTTTTTGGTCCTTGGAAGGTTATCACTATCGCTTTGAACTTTAAGTGATCTTGAAGAAAATGTTCACAAAATTACCAAATTAAAGTTGTTTATAAGAGTCCATCACTCAGATGGTTTATTAAGTTACAAAGTTACCACTAAATTTGTTTGTAAGCTATATTTGCTCAAGGTCATCTGAAAGTCCACCTAACAGAGGAAATTAATTTGGAATAATTAAATAAATGCTTTGGCACCACAGATATAGATGAATGCAAGCAGCAAGGTGGTTCTGAGGGGCATCACTGTAACGCGAACACAAAATGTGTGAACGTGATCGGTTCTTATACGTGCGAGTGTCTTCCGGGTTATCACAGAGTAGACAAGTTCAACTGTGCCGAGTTAGATGAATGTGCGACTGGCCATCATGCGTGCGACGAACACGCCACTTGCGTCAACACTGCGGGAAGTTACTATTGCATCTGCAAGGATGGCTACACTGGCGATGGTTACACGTGCAAACGTATGGTTGTTTCTTTAACCTTCTTTTCATTTTCCTATGTTAACTTATCCTAAAGATTTTCCCTGTTTTTACTGCATCTGATTTTGGCCAAACATGATTAAGTAAAGAAAAAGAGATAAAATATTCAGTTTAAAAAAGAATTATATTCTTTTAGAATGGCTCAAACCTGGAGAATCAGAAAGGCGAAATAATTCCTATACGCCATTATAAGAATACCTTCTTTGTTCTTTTCAGCTGTCTGCAATCAGACCTGTCAAAATGGTGGCGAGTGCGTGGCGCCAGGAAGGTGTTCCTGTCGACGTGGTTATATCGGCAACAGTTGTGAACTAGATCTTGACGAGTGTGCGAGTGATTTGCATCGATGCCATCAATCGTCGACTTGTTTCAATATGCCCGGTTGGTACTACTGTCGTTGCAAGCCAGGTTACAGAAGCGCCCTCCACGATAGTACTCAGGGTACGCAGTGTGTCGACATCGACGAGTGCAACGATCAAACGATCGAAAGGAGGCACACCTGTCATCCTAGTGCTAAATGTGTCAATACCGAAGGAGGTTATGAATGTGTTTGTCCACTTCAGGAGGACAATCGCACTATGGAGGAATGTAGGCTGAGTAAGTGTATATTTTCGTGTAGAAATGTAATATTACATCTTAATTTATTTTACCGTCTTCTTCCAAGAATAGTTTACTTTTTGTCAAGTATACAAAATACTCGTTGTTCATTGAACTTCAATGAGAAGAGTTCGAGAAATATTTAAAATGGAATAAAAATGCTTGTATCTTTAACAGGTTGCTGGTTCGAGAATCGAGAGGTAAGAAACGGAGAGACTCTAGCGTCAGCTGGGAATCCCTGTAGAAGATGCACTTGTAAAGATGGCGTTATCACATGCAAAGACCCTATATGCGACTGCAGCGCTCCTGGAAGTCATAGGGACAAATGTTGCCCGCAATGTGATCCTGCAGCCTCTTGCAGACATCAAGAGCTCCATCACCTAGTCTTTAGAAGTGGCGAACGATGGATATACCAGTGTCAGACTTGCGAATGCCTGGTAACAGCGTTGACCTCAAAAATTGCTAACCTGACCCCTTATTCTTTATAAAACAATTATTATCAAATACAATACATATTGCTCAAATAATAAACAAACAGCGGATCCCAAATGATCACGAAATTCCATCTTTCGTAGTGTAATTAAATTCAGTGTCATTTGTTTTCGCTGACGATCATCTCAAATGAGCATAGATTTTGACAAAATCACTATCTGATATGTTACAGTATGGCGAAATAGATTGCTGGCAGATGGAGTGTCCACCAGTGACCTGCTCGAACCCTGTGACAGAGGATGGAGATTGTTGTCCTCGTTGCGAAGACGATCCCTGCGCGAGAGAATTGCCTGGAAATGGCACTTCTCTCTCAGTACTGACCAGACCACGACCCTGTAGTTACTTCGGGATTATCCACGACAGTGGCAGCTCCTGGCAGGATCCCAATGACAAGTGCACCACGTGCGAGTGCAAGGTAAGGAGGACGTTTGGCCTCGGTCACATCGGGGGAACGAAGAATCATCAGTATCGCAGGATACGGATAGAATAGGGGGGTCCGTGAGGAAAGAGATTCGCGAATTATAAGTGGAGGAACTATGGCCTAGATGATATAGCGATGAAATTGTTGATTTATATTAAATTTTCGTAGGAATATTCTTTCTGCTTTTACTTTTTTTTATACACTAACGTCTCCTATATTCAACAAAAATTGGTAGCATATAATAAGATACTGTTCAGCAAATTCTCTTCTGGTAATGTATAGAGGACGTTTCAAATATGGCGCTTTGATAACGTAGATAAGCATCGTGGCCAGAAGTTTCTGTTTACCGCGTTCTCTTTTCCCGCGAAATCAAGAGCTCAAGGTCAGTAAATAACCAAAAAACTAAATGTCGCCTTCATTTAGCCGTGGTTCTGTCATGCGTCTAATCAATTACGTTCACTATGTTCCAACGAGGCGCGACCAGTTGCTGTGCGGCAGGCGATCATTCCAAAAATATTGATGTACATAACACACGTGGCGGATTAACATTTTCTTTAATATAATATTCTTCTGTTTTTCTTATCTCTATTTCTGCTTCAGTTGCAGTAAACTCAAACTCTGAACTAACATTGCTTGCATTTTGCATGGATGGTCATCAGTATTGATGTGATTAATTTAAGATACATGTAAACCATGATATAATTGTAAATATATTTACTAATATTTTTTAATTGACTATAAAGTATCATTTTATTAACTTTGTGTGCAAAGTATATAAAAGAATAATCGTAGCTGATAATTTTAATTGATTCAGAAATTCGTGCTTCGCAATATAACATCCGCCACGTGTTTAATTAGAGTCACACGTGTCAGCATATAAATATATTTATTTTTCTCTCACTCTTTTGTTTCTCTGTTTTCGTCTCGCTGTCATTTATTTACAGTGTCAGTAGGTAACCCTATAATACAAGGTACCTATATACTGACTGTCATTTATTTCCAGTATGCCATTTATTTTTGCGGTGTGTATAACGCGAATCAACTTCTTGCAAGGCTATCTGCGCTAATAAAATCTTGTTCTTTCGTACGCTGAGAGAAAAAAATTTCATCAAAATATTCCACTCATTTTCGTTAAAGTCTTTGAAGTATAAGTATAATCTACGAGTTCATGAGTCCCATAACCTCACTTTCTCATAGATATAGTACAGTCCTAGCTTACACAAAACTTAGATTAATCCAGCTTAGCTTAACACACTTAGACTAAATCCAACTGATATTCAATTACAGCTTAGTTAAAACATAAATTAACTGTTATATTTAGATCTAACTTGGAATTAGTCTAGATGTAAGCTGGATTTAGAGTACTTAACTGAATTTAAAATTTGTTTGAAGCTAGCAATTAGTCTAATCTAGAATCTAAAAGGAGAAAGATTCGACTTTGATGTAACGTAACTTAGGTCTAAGGCTAACCTAATCTAGAGTAGATAAAAGTATAGATTATCGACACCCTGACTTCAAAGGCTGAACGAAGTCTCTCTTGAACAAAATTTTAATTCTTTTAGTATGAGTTCTCTCGGCGTGAGCTAACTATTGCGTCGTGCTATAGTTCTTGCCATTATGTTAATTGTCTAAAGCTGTGTTCACCATATGTAAATTACTTCAATTGGATCTGTCTGTTCTGGCAGTACCAGCGTACGAGACACGTTCAGGGGCGTCCCTAAGTTAGCCTAGACTATTCTTATGTGTAATGTTTTTTCGTTGGCTGCCTTGCACGCGGCAGTGTTCATTATTATTATTATTACTAGTCCTTCACTTTAAATAAGAAAGACGAGATTCCTAATTCGGCACCGTATATACATATATGTATTTACTATGCATGTTTATTTAATGATCAGAGTAATCACGTGCTGTACGTAACGTAGAAACGAGGTTCATTATTAATGTTAATGTTATCGTTGTTATATACTGATATATATATATATATATATATATATCTATATATTTATTTTTGTAGTAACAGTTGATTTGATCAATTGTATAATTATTTTTTTTTTTGTTTAACCCTCGCTCACTGTATAAACCAGATGCTAAATAGCTTGAATTATTATAAATATATTCAAATATATATAGCTTAAAAATGGTTTAAGAAATCTATGGAATAATTTTCGGTAAATAAACAGTCAGCTTGCGTTGAACTTTAGCGATGATGTTTTAGGTCTCACACAAATTGAACACTGCCGCGAGAAATAATTCAAATCGCGCGCGCAAGATGTTAAGCTCTGATCCAACTTTCGTCCGATTCTCCTGAGATTCGAACTGAAAACTTTCACTGCTTCGGGTCGGCCCTGCATGGATCGTATTCAATACATATTCGCCTGACAACGACTAATCGAGAGTGGATCTTATATCTCATTGCGACCGAGTGTAGCATGACCTCGACCTCGTCGATTCATTAGAATCTATCTTATTAAAAAAACAAAACTAACAACATTATAATACTACAGTCCTTAATATAAAATATATTCACCGTAATATTTAATACAGCTTGATAACCTATAATTACAAAAAAAAAGGAAAAAAAGAGAAGAATCAGTAAAAGTAGCTAGAGTGATATGTGGAGCTTTTCAAAGAGAAAACATGGTTAAGTTGATTATACGTTTAAAATGAATCGGCGAGGAGAGATGAGCTGATGTGTTGAGCGGATATCTGTTAATTAACAACGAAAACGTATGCTGTGTAATCATGCTGTGAAAATTCTTAATAACCCATGCCATTTCATAACATACGTAAATACACACATCAGCCGTGAATGACTAACCTGACTAGCCTAACGATGGGTATCCTTGCAGGTGCCGTACTGCGCCCAATTGGTGAGCAATAGCGCGTGTTGTGTGCATCGGTAATCACGTCACTTCTACCTCACCTATAATCTTCTCTACCCGCCTCTTCTTCTTCTTTTTTATTTATTATTAATGTCTTTTTCTCTCTATCTTCTTTTTTCTATTTCTTACTCGTCACTTATTTAAGCGCCCACGAGCTCTCAAATGCTTTCGTTTTCCTTCTGCCTGCTTCATCGAATAGCACATTGGTAACTTTATTTCTCTTCCACTCTAGCTATCGCTGTCCCAACCCCACTCGCTTCTTATTTGTATCTTCGTTTGAAACTTTACATTTCTCTGTGTTGTAACGTTCGTTTAGAATCCACTAGAGAGAGTAATCTGGTTCATTCGTTCATAGAAGTCTCTTGCGTTCGTTGATCGCCGCACGCTGGTCACCAGGCTTCCAATTTCTCAACTTTTTCTTGTGTTGGGTTACACCCACTCTGGTCGTCTATGCCACGTGTAGACTTGCAAGTCCTTAGATGCGAATCAAGTTGAAATCGGAATAATTGTGTGACGATGTTTCCATTGGTTATTCGATAACTTTGCATTAGTACTTTTCTGGGCAAAGTTGGTACAACTGATAAAGCACTTGCAGATGACGCATTCGTGAGTATATGTGGATGATCTATATGACAGCGTGTGGCATAGACGTGTGGCAAGAAGGTCTAATTCTCAGGGTGAATCGCGAGCACGTACGCATGTTTTGTATTAAAAATTGTAATCAGAATTACTCTTGATCGATCTGAGGACAATTTTTTATAAATATGAAATTGCCTTTGACATGAATAAAAATACTATATTATTATCTAGTAATGTTTTTAAACATCAATGCTAAATATTGTGAAATTACGAACTCAACCAAAGTTAAATTTATTCATTATAGAAAAAGTGAAAATTAGTTACTCTGAATGATAAAAATATACAAGAATAAATATACAGAGTTTTAGCTACTTTTGAGTTAACTTTAGTATTATTCAACTACATATTTTACGAGGAATGAAGAATATTCAAGCTATTATGTCATAATTGTCGTAGTTAAAAAATTTATTTTTGCGTCGATCGGTCGATCAAGAAATGTTCGATCCTTGAGGTCAATTAAGGTAGTCAAATGCACGTTTACAATGGATACGCATGCACCGACTCACCCCATGTTATTTTCTAACTAATTATAAATCAGTTAACGTCAAAATTACTCGACTCAAAGAGCGCATATTTGAAGATGCATTGTCGTCAAATTGAAGAGAAAGAAATCGAAATTTCCTACATATTTGGTATCGGTCGGGCGCACGACGCACGTGGTGACAGACACGCACGCACACACATACAGACACACGCGCACACACACACATACCCATGCAGACACACACACACACACACAGATTGCATTTTGATTCGTTTTTGTCTTTCTGTTGTTATTATTATTATTATTATTATTATTGTATTATTATTATTATTATTATTATTATTATTATTATTATTATTATTATTATTATTACTATTATTTATTATTATTATGGTTTCGTTACACTTGAGCCTCTTTTGCACCCTTCTCTGATCTGCATTCGAAATTCGATAGAAGCACCAAGAGTCTCTTTCTCTCTGTCTATCGAGTATTGTCCTGTAACGATTCTGACAAAAAAGAAAAAGAAATTAAGGATTATGAAATAAAAAAAAAAAGATATAAGAATAAAGAAGGTCATACAAGATGGTTTAGGACGAACCAAATTTATAAGTCTCATATGACCGAATCTATAATTTTCAAATCACATCTTCAAAATTATTTTTCTTGATAAGTACACTTTAACAAATTGCAGATTTTCTTTGAAACTTTTTACAGTGTGCGAAAAATGATAAAACGTAAGATTTGACAATAAAATTGATTTCTGTCAGAATCGTAGCTGGAAGTAGTGGTAACCTAGACACGATGTCGTCAAGGTGTCAGATACATACTATGGAAATTCATTGTTTTGACCCCCGAATGTCAGAGCATGATTGTCATGAGTCGAGTCCTTGTTATTTGTGCTCGTAAAATCCAACATTTTTACCGATCGTGCACGGTCGAGAGGAAAGGGCCGTCGAACCTGAGTCATCTGCGAATGGAGGACGTGGATTATCACCACAACAGAACGACGTATGCGGTTTCAATTAAACAATGAATTACATATTATGTGGAGGATTACCTGAGTATCCCCCCAAGCGACGCGAAAAGTCTTGGATCAACGTCGTAAGTCGACCAGGGTGACATCTGTAACGGCTCCTCTCAACTCGCGGATTCATTCGTTACACGCTTCTTTCGTGAGAAATTGATGACGAATATTTTCTTATCGATCTATAAAGTTACTTCTAGTTGTGTAACATTTTAACATCATGACGTAGTTGTGCACACGTTCACAAACTCAGATTCACGCCGAAAATAGTGCACCGTCTTTCAAAATCTGCAAAAGACACTTGCTAATCAGACGAAAACGCAACCACAACGCAGATAGCAGAATCCCCTTGCCCAATTCGAATTTCCCGCTTCTGTTCATCCTTTATACCGCACCGCGCACCTGACAGATGGCAGCACGCACGCGCGTCCCAAGACTTTTCACGCGGACGGGGGAATACCCGCGTACGGATACTGCATAAAAATGAGAAAAAAAGGAAAATAAATAAAAAAAAAAAAAAAAATGAAAAAGAAACGGAAGAGGGCGAAAGTCAGGCGAACACGATACAGTCGCTTGGTTCGTTCCGCCGTTGGCTAACCCAGTATCCAACGAACCTCTCCGTAGGACGGGCAGCTATGCTGCAGCTACGATTACGGCTGCGCTGGCGATCTGGGCAGCAACGGGCAGCAACAACGTCCTCCAGTCGTTGTTCCTGAGCCTGTCATACGCGGTCTACCGAGCCCTGCGGGGTTACCGATGGCTGACGGTACACCGGAAGCAGCTGTATCAGCGGTTACCACTTCCACCTCCGCTGGTGCAACATCAGTCACCAGCACCTACATTCTGTCGGCCTCGTCTTCTTCCTCGTCCGTCAACAACGTCGCCACTGGTGGCTCTACCGTCAGAAAAGATCACTGGGCTTTGCAGAATAGCCTGCCAAGTCTATCCCAACAACACAGGGACGACCATCGCGCTAGAGCGCAAGTACAGCAACAACAAGTTCTACCGACAGCCAGGTACCAGATGGCCTCTGGAGCAGCGACGACGTCGTCGACACCTGAACGCGTTACACCCACGTCGACGTCG